TTATAGTCTTTTACACACTCTTCCCAGCCTCCCTTTTCCCATCTTTGCTGCTATATGGCTAAGGCAGAAGTGTTAGAAACTTTACAATCCGTCATTTAATTGATAGCTGCCCAGGAATAGAACACAGGCCACCACAGAGTTGGCGTTTAGGTAAACCTGGTGACAGGATGACGGTCTCCTCAAGGCCCAACTCCCACTCTTCTATCAAGCGGCTCAATGTCCCCTGAAATGTTATCAAGCATGCAACTTGGTCAGCAACACACTGACCCTGCTAGAGGCAGTATGACTGTCCAAGTCCTTTCTGTAACTAATTTTTAAAATCCTGGGTGCTTTGGCAGCCTGCTATACAATTAATCAATTCAGTTTTTTAAGGACCAGGTAGTACTATGATAGGACAGATGGGTGAATCATTCTCAAATCTTCACAGAATTTAGCACACCTAAAGGTTGTTTTTATTTTTTTAACTGAAAGACATTTGAAATAGTGCCATCATCTTTAAAAGGTTAAACCTAACTTAGTATACCTTAAGAAAACAGATTGTAGCTGGGTGCCAGAGCTTTAATCCTAACTACTTGAGAAAGCTGAGAATAAGCATACTTGGAAAGCTAAGAATAAGTGGAACAAAGTTCAAAGTTAACCTGAGCAGAAACTCCACCTAAATGAAAGGAAGCTAAACTGGCAATCTGTCATCCCTGGCTAAAATATGAGGATCATGGTCCAACAGGCACAGAAAACAAGACTCTGTCTCCAAAACAACCAGTGAAAACAAAGATAGAGGCACATGCCAGCCTACCATATATGAATTCAAACTCCAGTATCACCATGATGGATGGGGGGTAAGGGAGGAGGAGGGAGCGGCAGGAAATGCATAATAGCTCAGAAAAAGGGAAATAATAAATTATTTAATTAATTTAAAAAAATAGAGCGACCTTCATTCAGATGCCTGGAAAAGTCATGGCTATAAACACCATATTTCCTGGGGCTGGGAAGGTGGCTCAGCGGTAGAGTGCTTGCCTTGCATGCATAAGGCCCTGCGTTCAATTCCTCAGCACCACTTAAGCAAAAAGAAAAAAGCCGGAAGTGGCACAGTGGCTCAAGTGGTAGAGCGCTAGCCTTGAGCTGAAGAGCTGAGGGGCAGCGTCTAGGCCCAGACCCAAAAAAACAACAACAACAAAAAAAAAAAAAAAAAACACCATATTTCCTAAAGAGGGCTGACAGGTTAAAAAGTAAACTCTTTTGAAATGAAAACTTTAAGGAAATGTATTTCTCAAGTTACTGAAAAAATGAGGAAATGAATATTACCTTTCCAAATAAATCATTCTGACAAACAAATCATTAAACACGGTGTGGTAAAAAGATAGTTCTCCACTCCAGGTTTCCTGCCCGGGCCTACTGGACATACTACGATTTTGCAAGCCTGCATCACTGTAATTACTATCTCTTTAAAAGTGTGTGATTCACACATTTATACAAAATAGGACTATTCCTATAAAGTAAATTCATAAGATATACCCTTTTAGAAATTGTTTGAAAAGCATATTGTTTTTCTCCCTCAAACTAACAGTGTTTCTGAAACACTTGTTCTCATTTTTTAAAAAAATCTCAAATAACACTATCATTACACCAGAAGGTTTCTTAAAAACCACTTAATCTGAATAGAAGCTCAACTTTCTGACCTCAAGTGAGCTAAAATTAATAATTAGCATGCTATGGAGCCAAATCTAAATTTTAAAAATGGAATTCCTCCAAAAAAAAAGACTTTTTCCACCCAAGTGAAAAATGCTTAGTAAAAAAATATTTGCCTTCTGATTTATATGTTTCCAGCTAAAACATGTCATCCATATATTTCTAAATCATCAGTGTGTCACAAATATTAATAAACTGCTACAAATCTAGCTTTCACATCCTAATTAACTTAAAAGGGACAACTACTACTTACGCCTTTATATAGTTTACGTGTTGATTTGGCACAAGATCAGGCACACATTGGGGTACCATATTCAGGAGCTCAAGCGTTTTTGTAGAATAAGTGGGCAGCAGGACATGATTTGCCTATTATGCTGGAACAAGAAATCTGTTTACTATTCAAAAGTACTTTAAGTTCATCCCCCTCCTTCCACTTTGGTGACATGTTAGGTTTTGGAAGTTGGAAGACCCCTCCAGGATAAAACAGTTGATCACTCTGGCCTAGCTGAATGAAGACAGCAAAGAGTGAGCTACAATTCTAAATACAAACTGCTGTTTGTGCCACCAGCACTAGGCTCACGCCTATAATCCTAGCTACTCAGTGAGATCTGAGGATGAAGAAAAGTCCTCAGAAAAATCCGAGGAAAGTCCCATGAGACTCCATCTCCAATTAACCACAAAACCACAAAAAACTGTTGCTCAAGAGGTCAGGGGCTAGCCTTGCGTAAAATAAGCTCAGGAAGAGCACCTAAGGCCCTGCCCTGAGTTCAAGCCCTAGGACCAGCAATAATAATAATAGCGATAATAATAAGTGTTTTAAAATTCACATTGCTTTTAAAAGCCAGGCCAGCAATCCCACAGTCAGGGGATCCGCTCCCCACTGGCCTCTCATTTCTACAGGAAACACCTTAACTCCTGGAGCTTTCTGCTAAGTCCTCCACAGGTGAGCCCCAGGGGCCTGCTCCCTTCCCGCGGGCCGCAGCTTCTCCCAGCAGGTCCGGGCGTTCGCCTGAACCCCCAAGCCTCGGGAGACCTCCCCGGACCCCAAGCGCGGGGAGGGTTCTCCGGAGCTCCGCGGCCCACGCCACGCGGCGCGGCAGCAACCGCAACAAGTGGACTGCTACCCGGGAACTTAAAACGGAAAACACCTCGTGAAAAGGAAGCCTGGGCCACCACGGGCCCATTCCAGGCCCACACCCCGACAACTTAAGTTAGGAGCAGAAACAAACAATACCGACGACGACGTGTGCCAGTAAAATCAGAGACGGCCCCACACACCGAGGGTGGCCGGGAAATGTCGCCCGGACTCCAGAAGGCCACCCCAAGTGCTAGGACTCCGGCAAGAAGTGCTCCGGGAGGCACTTCCCACCCTCGAGCGGGGGGCGCGGTCTCGAACCCCCCTCCCGCCGAGGCCACTTGGGCCCCACCGCCGACAGGAAGGAAGGAAGGCCGGCAGGCAGCGGATTCGCTACGAGGGCCGCCGCGGGCCGAGCCGGGGGCGAGAGCGCCCCGCGCCCGCCATCCCCGCGGCCCCCCGCACCCCCCGCGGGCGCCGGCGCCCCCGTACCCGTGAGATAGTTGGTCCACTTGTACAGAACACCCTCCATGCTTCAGAGCCCTGCAGCGCGCATCCTCCTGGCCGGCGCCGGCCGCGCTGATCCGGGAGGCGCAGGGCCTGGGCCGCCCCCGGAGCCCTCCGGGGCCCCCGCCGGCCCGAAACCGCCCTCCGGCCGCGCGCGCCGCGGGGACGCGGCGGCCCTCAGAGGCAGGGACTCCGGGCGCCGCGTGGAGCTCGGGGGCCGCGAGGCGCGCGCTCAGACATCCCCGGGCGAGCCTCGGCGGCGCCGGCTGGAGCGCGACGACGGACGGCGGTCCTCCGGCTCGCACTTCCGCGGCCCGCCGCCCGCCTTCCCTCCCCCGCCACGGGCTCCCGTTTGTTTTCATTGACCCCGACGTCGCTTTCACTTCCTGGATGAAAGGGGCCGGCTCGTCCCGCGAAACCCCTCCCCTCCCCGCGGCGGGGCCGGAGGCTGCGCGGCGCCCCTCGGCCTGCGCTGCGCGCCGTCTCCTTCCGCGGGGTCCGGCGTCCTCCCCGCCGCCCGGTGGCTGCCCGGGTCCGCCCGAGCCTCCGGCTTCGCGCCGCTCCCGCCCGGCCCCCGGCTCAGACCCGGCGGTGACCTGGCCAGTGCCGTGGGCAGTGACTTAGGCCTCGGGCCCTTCAACCATTAAGCCTTGGGTCCTTTCGTTGATTCGATTTTTGGTTTAAGGAAAATAAAAGGCTTCTTATTTCTGTGTGCTTCCCGTCCTCACTCTCCACGCGTGCGAGGAATTCTCCGCCACGAAGGCGATGTGTAGTTGATGGGGTCCCCCGCACCGGGAATTGTCTCCATGCCAATAAATCACCGTGGACACCCACCATTTCATTGTGTCATTTGCAATAATGTGTGGAACTAAAATTTGGGCCTTTATTCCAAAAGAAATTATTATGATATTTTGGGGGGGAGGGAATCCTTGGACGTGTTAGTTACCTAACAGAATTAATTTCAAATTTGTGGACTTTTACCAACAATCTCGGAGAACTGTCTTGGGGCTGAGAGTTAGCAATCATTGCGATGTTAAAAAAAAACACCTCTCTCAGAACCCAATCCTGGCCATTCAAGAAGCTTCTGGCTCAAGAAGTCTGGGTATTCAGTTAGAAATGAAGTGAACTGATGTGTAGACATGTAATTCTGTAATTCGAATGAAATTCTATGTTACTGAATGAAAATAACTGACCGGTATAGTGTTCACAGTAGGCTCTCTATGTTTGAAAGGTATGCATCCTAAAATAGGAGGGGGGTTGAACCAAATGCCCAATACGCAAATTTCCTTTTTCCCGTGGACAAATTTGGATCTCAAGTCCAAGATCAGAAAAGCAATGTCGCTTTCCTACACTGCTGCAGGGCCCCGAGGCAAGGGCGGCCCCAAGAGGAGGGGGACAGAAACGCGAGCCGGCAGCAGGTCTGGAATCCCAGCTTTTACCAGGCAGGAGGGAACAGCTAGCTAGCTGCCTGGCCGTTTTAAAGTCCTAGAAGCCATCAGGTTGCATGCGTGTGACCGACGCAGCTGTTCCTGAGAAAGGGCTTCACGGACACCGCAGAAATACCCAGAGAAACATCCGCCAACCACCACTGCAACACACCCACGAGTACAAGCGGGCAGAAAAGCCTCCCGGAGTCCTAGAGGCGGGGCCCGAGTGACCACGCCCCGGAGCCACGCCCCTTTCCTTTATGACGTAGAAGAATTCCTGCCACGCGTCGGAATTCAGCCCCGGGGAAAGCTAACCCGCCTCACGGACGCATTTGGGAGCGGAGTCGGCGGTGCCTGCTCCCAGCACCATGCATTTCTTATCCACATTAGCCTTTTTCTTTTACCTGTGGGGACTTTGTACTGCTCAGGGACAGAAGAAAGAGGAGAGTACAGAAGAAGTGAAAATAGAAGTTTTGCATCGTCCAGAAAACTGCTCTAAGACAAGCAAGAAAGGAGACCTGCTAAATGCTCATTACGATGGTTACTTGGCTAAAGATGGCTCGAAATTTTACTGCAGGTAAGAGATGCTGCAAACTGCCTCCCCACCCCCACCTTTGTCCAGTTGATGTGCTTCCGATCTTGCCTTTAAAATGACTAGAAGTCTAATCGATTTATCATTTGAAAACATTAGCTCAATAAATGGCCTCCCCCAAAACACCACCTCCTCCTCCATCTTTAACCCTTAGAATCCCTAACTAATTTAAGGGACTGCCTGTAAGGATATGGACACTTTCCCTTTGCCCAGAGTTGGCATCTCTTTCCAGAGAATTTACACAGGATAGCTGAAGCAATTTATGCTAGCCTTCATGCTGGGTGGGGCCACAGTGTCTCTACATTCACTGTAACTGTGCCTTCCCTAGTAATTTCCTTTGAGCCCTGTCCTCTTGCCTGACCGCAAGTCACTGGCTGCCTACTCTGATATGATGGTTTATTACTCTCAGCACAATGTCTTTATCTATGCCATTACCCGGAAAAATAGGACTGGGGAAGGTAAGTTATTCCACTTTAGGAGAAAATAGATTTAATCAGAAGAGATACTGTTTTAAATTGCTATTACGTTGAAATTTAAGGCTAATCTTACCCTTCATGCCTAACAACAAACTCAGAGAAGTGAAATGAATTGCTAGCAATGAATCTAGTTAAAGGCAGGAGACCCACTGAAAAGTGCTGAATCGTTTTCATAATGATGAACATAAAGAAGAAAATGAGATTATTCCCAATATGTAACTTTGTGATACTTCTTTCTGCCATTTATAGGAAAATTTGAGCAAACATTTAATAAGAGGGTTCAGAAATAATGTGATTATGAGAAAAGAAGTTCCCATGTAAAATCACAAGTACTCAGTTGTATTAGATCAGCTTACGTTAGTATTGTTTTCTATTATAGCCGGACGCAAAATGAAGGGCACCCTAAATGGTTTGTTCTTGGTGTTGGACAAGTTATAAAAGGCCTAGATATCGCTATGATGGATATGTGCCCTGGAGAGAAGCGAAAAGTGATTATCCCTCCTTCATTTGCATATGGAAAAGAAGGCTATGGTAATATGTTTAATATTTATTTCTCTTGTTAGTTCTTGTTAAAAATAAATTATAATGTTCTGCATATGTATCAAAAAACATGAAAGCAAGTCTCAAAGAGATATTGTACATCATGTTCACAGCAGCTTTATTCATAGGAGCCAAAGGGGAGCCAAGTATCTAGGGACAAAAGGTAGAAAAGCAAAATGTGGTATTGTATGTACAATAGACTGTTACTCACTGAGTAGACACTACTCACTAGTCACAAAGCCGTTGCATTATAAAGGCAGAATTTCACATATGTGTGTATCTACTTGCATTATATTTGAAAAACTGTTTGAGAAGAAGCCTAAGGATCAAATGTAACATGATTTCCTGTCACTGAAAAAGAAATTTTATCATGTACCTATATTAATTTTTCTAAAATTTAATGTTGCAGAAAAAAGGGAAAGTTTTTTTTTGTTTTTATTTTTACTATCTTTACTTGTACAAAAGGGTCTCAGTTTGTGAGTACAATGCATATTGATCAATGTCACCAAGAAAGAAAATTTGATGGAGGGATAAGCAGCCTGACAGAAAAGTTCCTCCTTGTATGTGAGGCCCTTGTTTCCTATTGCTGTGTGAAGGCTACACAGGAAGAACCTTTGCCTCCTGCTAACTTCACCTACTAGAAATATTTAGCAGATAATCAATGATTAGCTTTCTATGATAAGATATTGACATTACTACTCTATTCCCAAATATTTTGTGGAGATGGCATTACTTCATTGAGGCTATTAGTTGTAGGGTGTGGCTCAGGGGAGACCACTTGGGTAAAGCCCTGGATCGCAGCGCCACCTGCATATACACAAAGCTCCCATGGGGTCATAACTTTATTTGTAAGGGAACCTGGGAAAGAAGTAAAACTGAAGATAGCTAAATACCATCTTTGAAATAATCTCTTTCAGTCACTTATATTTTTGTTCCAGTTTCCTTTCTTTCATGTCATTTATCAGGGGCCTCCACATTCTACCTACCACTTAGAGCACCCAGTCTTCTATCTGCCAGTGCACTCACATTCTTCCAGTAGGTGCCCATCATAGGTCCATTACCCTAAAACAAATGACTTCTTTATCCTTTTCATAAACTAATTTGTACTTAGATAAGAATGACTACCCCAACTGCCTAAGCTATTAATAAACCAGACCTACTGCAGACTTATAGAAGTTTGATTTAAGGAAATTAGTTCATGTTCAGTTTGGAGTGTCCTCAATTCATGCACATCAGTAGGAACACACCAGCACCTTCATTTTACTCAGGGGAGCTGAGGCTCAAAAAAGTGTGTACATTGAAACATCATGGTTAACTATTAGTCTACCCACATTACAATATCTCTTGGATAAGATTAAAACGTATAGGGGCTCAGTGTTAGAGCGCTTGCCTTGCATGCATGAGGCCCTGGGTTCAATTCCTCGGCATCACATACGCAAAAAGAAAAAAGCTGGAAGTGGCGCTGTGGCTCAAGTGGTAGAGCGCTAGCCTTGAGCTGAAGAGCTGAGGGACAGCACCCAGGCCCAGAGTTCAGGCCCCATGACCGGACCCAAAAAAAAAAAAAAAAAAAAAAAGTATAATATAGATTGAAACCATTTAAACAAATAGCTTGTGGATTGCATAGCTTTTTAATAGTAAATTGTTTTCAAAACCTAACATTAGCTGTGATTTTATTTTAGGTAATACTTGAAGAACGCTTTCCTCTGCAAAATGTCCTTACCTTGTGTTACTGACCACTCCTGCATGTCTTGAAATGCATGTGACTTTTTAGTGCTTTCACTAATGATATGTGGTATGTACAAATACCTTACATTAACATCTGTCTCTAAGTGATTTTATAATGAGTGCATATTTTTCTCTTTCATACTTTAATTTTTATAAGAAAAAGAGCTGAATAGAAATATTGTTTATATTTACAAAATAATAGTTCAGAAATTCCAAGAAATTTGAAGAAGGGGAAAGAGGGTTTGTATTTTCTATCCTAGGATCACTACACAGAATAGGAATGGGTTTTGTGAACAAATCACCCTTGAATCTATCTCTAATTCCTTTACTATTAAATCAGGTGATGCATAGGACGTTAGATTAAGGTGTGAGTCACAGAATGCATGTGTAAGGTATTCTATGCCCTAGCTTTGGAAATTGCTGGTCCACTTCTCCTTTTGACTGTCATTTGCATTGTTTTCTGTTTTAACTATAGAACTATTTAGCAAGAATTCCCTACTTTTTCAATAAGAAAACAAATTGATGCTTTTTTCAAAGGACAAACTTGCTCGCTTTCATTCATCCCTTCAGCAGGTATTTGAGTGCCTGTAATAGATCAGGTAACATGTAAGTCCCCAGGAATGCTTTGGAGACACAAGCTATCTGTTGGCTCTTAGCAATTCATTTTTGCCGGTCTTTTTCATGAAATGCTTATCTGAAATAGCCCATAATTTACCAACATTATCTGCTGCATCAGCTCAGAGGCAGCTAGTGTTCAGGCCTATAATCCTGTCTACTCAGGAGGCTGAGATCTGATGATCACAGTTCAAAGTCAGCCTGGGCTTGAAAGCCCATGAGAATCTTATCTCCAACTAACTACCAAAAAGCCAGAAGTAGGGCTGGGAAGGTGGCTCAGTGGTAGAGTGCTTGCTTGCATGCATGAGGCCCTGGGTTCAATTCTTCAGCACCACATAAATAGAAAAAGCCAGAAGTGGCACTGTGGCTCAAGTGGTAGAGGGCTAACCTTGAGCTGAAGAGCTGAGGGACAGTGCCCAGGCCCAGAGTTCAAGCCCCACAACCAACAAAAAAAAAAAAAGAGAGAGTCTCATGGACTTTCCTACCCAGGCTCTCTTTGAACTGTGATCCTCAGACCTCAACCTCCTCAGTAGCTAGTACCACAAGCATGAGCCACCAGAGCCTGGCCATCCATATATATTTTAAACCAAATCAGTTCAAAGAATGTCACAGGCTTTCCTGCCCTGGCTGGCTTTGAACCAAGATACTCAGATCTCAGCCTCCTGAGTAGTTAGGATTACAGGCATGAGCCAACAATGTCCAGCACTTTTATATAATCCAAACTGATAAAAATGTATTCCAGGGACACAACTTGCTTTTTTTGTTGTTGTTTGTTTTTAATGTATCTAAAATGTACTATGTGATTTTTTTCTCTTGTATGTTCTTCCCTCACAGTATAACCCCTGCTGTCACTGTATTTGATATCAATGCCCTGCATCTTGTATATACATTTTTCTGATTTGAGGAGGGAAAGGGAAATAACAAAATGCTAAAACAAAGATTCAGGTTGACCCATTGTAACAATGAGATGTACAAGATACTATGTAGAAAACGAGCTTTACAAGTTGAGGGGGGAGGGAGTAGTTGGGGAGGTGGGGAGGAAAGGGATGGTAAGGGAAAAACAAAGGAGGAGGTAACAATACTGGATAGAAAATGTACTCATTACCTTACTCATGTAACTGTAACCCCTCTGTACACTATTTTTACAATTAAAAAAACATAAAAGGGGCTGGGAAGGTGGCTCAGTGGTTGAGCGCTTGACTTGCATGCATGAGGGCCTGGGTTCGATTCCTCAGCACCACATAAGCAAAAAAGAAAAAAACAGAAGTGGTGCTGTGGCTCAAGTGGTAGAGCGCTAGCCTTGAGCTGAAGAGCTGAGGGACAGCGCCCAGGCCCAGAGTTCAGGCCCCATAAAAAAAAAATGTATTCCCTCAGCAGAAGGCAAGATTCCACCAGATGCAACATTGATATTTGAGATTGAACTCTATGCTGTAACCAAAGGACCACGGAGCATTGAAACATTTAAACAGATAGACACGGACAATGACAGGCAACTTTCTAAAACTGAGGTAATTCAAATTTCTTTTTTCCATTATAATATAAATACATCCTGTGTTGCAAACTGTATTTTTCAGTTCTATCTAGCAGGGAGTCTGATCACTGTAATAGAGCTGTTTATTTCAAAATCTAAACTCTGAGGAGAAAAACCTGCATTTCGAATGCAATGCTTGAGAATTACCCTTTTCAATTTTACCTTTGTCCTGATAAGAAGATTATTAAGGGCTGGGAAGGTGGCTCAGTGGTAGAGCGCTTGCCTTGCATGCTTGAGGCCCTGGGTTCGATTCCTCAGCACCACATAAGCAAAAAAGAAAAAACCGAAGTGTCACTGTGGCTCAGGTGGTAAAGTGCTAGCCTTGAGCTGAAGAGCTGAGGGACAGTGCCCAGGCCCAGAGTTCAGGCCTCACGACCGGACCAAAAAAAAAAAAAGATTATTAAAATCTCAAACTATCTGGACAGGGCTCTTCCAGTTTCTAAATGATAGGAGTACATATCTTTTTTCCAACAGCATTGTAAGAATTTATAGTAAGGCAAATAATCCCAACGTAGAGGATGGTTAGAATTGCACACAAAGAGCTAGCAAAAATGACCTAGCAAAAGCTTGAGCTGGGTAGACCAGCAAGTTGGCAACTAGAGCGAAGAATTCAGATCCACCCATTATAAATTTAGGTACTAATTCAAACCTTATAAAAATAATAAAATATGCTGTCTTTTCTATTTTCTCAGAACAGGGTACTTTCATAAGACATAAGGATATGAACTAACTGCAAAAACTAACATAGCTGCAGGAGGCAAGATCAGGACTGTAACCTGCTCCTTACCCTTGAGTACTCCATGCTTCTATATGAATGTTTCCAGGGTTAATGCTTGTTTTATTGGATCCTAGCACCTCACCTAATTCCATAAGTCTGCACTCTTGTTTGGAAATAATTGAAAATTCATACTCAGCCAGGTACCTGTGGCTCAGGCCTGTAATTCCAGCTACTCAAAAGGATGAAATCTGAGAATCATGGGGTCTGTAAGACTCTTTATCTCCAATTAACCACCAAAAATCTAGAAGTGGAGATGTGGCTCAAGTGGTAGAGTGCTAGCCTTGAGCGAAAAAGCTAAAGGCATCTAGACCCTGAGTTCAACTCCTATTACTAGCGTGCACACACACACACACACACACACACACACACACACACACAATCACACAGCCACATTTGAGACAGTTGATACATATTTTATTATAGTACATTAATTGTTTTAAGTCTGTTCATGGTGTATTGAGTTTTGATATGTATCACTAAAAACTTTTTAGAAGACAATTCTAGCTTTCAGAGTTTTCTGGCCTCTAGAATGTCCTAGCCTTCCCAAACATTATCTTCAGACTATTATACATTGCTTTCCGCAGTTATTTTAGCACTTTCCAATGGAATTATAATTGAGCCACATGGTAATTTTGATTCTTTTTGTAATCACATTTCAAAATGTAAAAAGAAAGTTGGGCCCAATGGTATATACCAGTAGTCCCAGACACTCAGCTGAGTCAGAAGGATCCCTGGAACCCACAAATTCCAGAGCAACCTATGAAATATAACAAGATTCTTTGAAGAAAAAAAAAAGAAGAAAAAAACAGAGATAATATGTAGGTGAAAATCTGACAATTACTGTTAGATTGTAAAAGTTATGTAGACTTGGAGGAAAGCAATAGAAACATAGAAAATTTTACTTCAGAGTCCATAGTTTGATTTTATTGATTATACATATAAATTACTCATTTATCTTAGAGATTACAGAAATGGATATTATTCATTAATGAAAGCTCTTAAGACTGACTTTTCCTTTGACAATGTGATCAGTATAGATTATTGGAAATAATATATCTACTATTAACCAGGATTAGCTCATTTGAGTACCTGTTTCTTTTCAAAAATTGCTTCAAAGGTTAAAAACAGTATTATTTAATGTAAAATGTCTTTGATATGAGCTTATTTATTCTAAATATCCCTCAAAGTTACTGGAAATTTCTAACACTGTTGTACTGAAGAAACGTTCTTTTGGCCTTCTAGATTGATCATTACTTGAAAAAGGAATTTGAGAAGGATGAGAAGCCACGTGACAAGACATATCAAAATGCAGTTTTAGAAGATATTTTTAAGAGGAATGACCATGACAAAGATGGCTTTATTTCTCCCAAGGAGTACAATGTATACCATCATGATGAGCTATAACATATTTTTACCTCTATATTTTTAAAGCAATTTATTGTACATAAAGTCACTTTTCTCTAAATTGTGTTTCTCTAAATTGTGTTATTTTTCCGTGATGGGAAGATAATTTTTTTCCTCAATGTATGTAATTTTGTTATGTAGTAAATGTGAGTCTGTTTAGCAGATTTAACTCTCAGGAAACATACAGCTGTGTTTCCTAATCCTTTAGTCGGTGAACACAAATTGCAGCACCATGAAATAGGCCAGTGTCCCAGTGCATAATATCCCCCTTTCTGGGTATGGGAGAATATATATGTTTAAATCTGCAAGCTCAGCTGGGCACTGGTGGCTCACATTGTACACCTCGCTACTGAGGAAGTTGAAAACTGAGGACAGTGTTTCAAACCCAACTGTCAGGAAAGCTCAGCTTGGTCCCGAAATTAACTACCAGAAAGCCAAAAGTGGAGGTATGGTTCAAATAGTAGAATTCCAGCCTTTAGCAAAACAGCTAAGGGACAGTGCCTAGGTCCTGAGTTCAAGCCCCAGTACAAGTACTACCAAAAAAAAAAATCAGCAAGCTCTTTTCAACTCTCACCTTAATGGCATAGCATGTAGAAATGTATTATTTAAAATGTTAAAATGTCTCATAATTTTAAATACTTAGCTCAGACTCAGAAACTAATGCTTACATGGTTATACATTTCATAAAATTACTGAGGACAAAAATCAGAGTCTTCCTGGTATGCATGCAGGATGATGATTCTGAATCTCTATCCCACATATAAACCCTCAACATGGTTTGCACTTTCTTTTGTACTTCTGGCCTTCCGTTTTTCTTCCAATCAGAAATGTTTCTATTTGACCAGACCATTTTCCCTTTATTAGCAGTCTTATAGTCTGCATTTCAGAAAGCATTCTAAAAATGTGACCCCTCTTCTCCTAGGCATATATAAATGTTCAATCACAAACTTTTGCCCATAGTTGTAAATCAATGCCAGGGAATTCATTTCTAATTTTCTGTCTCTAGCTATTTCTTTCCTTGTGATTTTACAACATTCTTATCATTAATGGTGAGCTGTACAGTGTGGGATATTGTAAACATTTAAAAATGAGATTGCAGGAAGTGGCACTGTGGCTCAAGTGGTAGAGAGCTCGCCTTGAGCTGAAAAGCTGAGGGACAGTGCACAAGCCCAGAGTTCAAGCCCCAAGACCGACCAAAAAAAAAAAAGTTAAAAATGAGATTGCAGCCGGGTGAACACTGGTAGCTGGTAGCTCATGTCTGTAATCCTAGGTAGTCAGGAGGCTGAGATCTGAGGACTGCCTTGGAAGCCAGGCCAGGCTGCAAAGTTCATGAGACTCTTATCTCCAATTAACCACCAGAAAACCAGAAGTGGCCTGTGATTCAAAGTGGTAGAATACTAGCCTTGAGCAATAAAAGCTCAGTGAGCCGGGCACCGGTGGCTCACACCTGTAATCCTAGCTACTCAGGAGGCTGAGATCTGAGGATCATGGTTCAAAGCCAGCCCTGGCAGAAAAGTCCATGAGACTCATCTCCAATTAACCACCAGAAAATGGGAAGTGGTGCTGTGGCTCAAGTGGTAGAATGTTCCCCTTGAGCTGAAGAGCTCAGGGACAGTACCCAGGCCTGGAGTTCAAGCCCTACAATAGACAAAAAGAAAGAAAAAAAAAAAAAGCTCAGGGACAGTGCCTAGGCCCTGAGTTCAAGGTCCATGACTGACAGAAAAAAACAAAAGGAAAAAAAAAGATTGCTCATTGCTACAAATGAACAAGTACCAGACTGAGATGTGTCATGATCAAATTATCATGTGGTCCACCTTATTGAGAACAGTTAGGGGATGGATGATGGAAAAGAGTTGTACCAAAAAAAAGAAGGGCACATATATGATCATATAAGATTCTCTATAGTATGTATGTGGGCATTGGTCCAGCAATAAATGGCTCTGCTCAAGATACATGAATTCAAGGAAAGGGTACTGTGGCTCAAGTAGTAAAACACTCACCAGAGCAAAAGAAGCTTAGGAACAGTGCCCAGGCACAGAGTTCAAGCCTCAGGACTGGGGCAGGATTGGGGAGTAGATAAATGGGTTCAATATAAACAAAGATGTTTTCTGTTTTCTGAAACTTGGTCTTCCCAAACCATTACTCCTGTTTTAACCACTTGAAATATATTGCTAGGAATTCAATTTAAAAGTATAGAACATAAATACTATATATGCTTACATAGAATTTAACATTTTATCATCTGTTCTTTCCTCCTAGTGTTTTTATTCCTATCTTTAATTTTCTAACTACTCTTCACTTGCTCAATCATTAGCTCTTACCAGCTCTTTTCCTTCAGAAGTAAACTACATCTTCACCTGAATGATCCATTGTTTTTCATTCAATGTACTGTTAAACTTACGTTTTTAAAAAAGCATAACAACCTTGCTGTGATGATACTTATAATCCCTGCTCCAGAGGCAGGAATATTATTGTTTATGGCAAACTTACAAAAGAGAAGGGGGAGATACTATTTGGAAAACAAACTAAAAACAAAATATCTTGGGTCAAATAGTACTGTTCCAAATATATGCTATTAAATGAATAAAAGATAATACTCTAAAAGTTTTACCTTTAAATAATTTAAAAATAAACTCACTCATTCTACATACACATAATAATATACAGATATTTCGTTATTTATGTGATTTGTTTGTATTTACCTGACTCAGTGCTGTGACTACATTTTCAGTGCTATGATTTTTAACATTTTTGTAACTTTTTAAAATATAAAGGTGGCTAATTCAGGATGGATGTATAAAAAATTCAATTGTCTTACAGAATAGAATGAAAGGTAGCTGCTTAGGAGGCTAAGGCAGGAAGATAGTTTAAGGTTGGTAGTTTGAAAACAGACTGGGCAACATAGCAAGAGCCCATCTCAATGGAAAAAGATCTTTAAGAACTATGTAAAGATCTTTGAACTATGAAAAAGATCTTTCTTATTTTCTTTTTTTTTTTTTTGGGTCCGGTCGTGGGGCCTGAACTCTGGGCCTGGGCGCTGTCCCTCAGCTCTTCAGCTCAAGGCTAGCGCTCTACCACTTGAGCCACAGCACTACTTCCGGCTTTTTTTCTTTTTGCTTATGTGGTGCTGAGGAATCGAACCCAGGGCCTCGAGCATGCAAGGCAAGCGCTCTACCACTGAGCCACCTTCCCAGCCCCATCTTTCTTATTTTCTAAGAACAAATAGACTTGGTCTATCTTCCTTAAAAACAAGTTTGAGATGTTAGATCTTCAAGGACTAAAATGACAGTAGTGAGTTTTATCAAGACAAAATTAGTGAGCATATGTATATCATCTCATACTCCTATCAGTCACACTATAAGCCATGTATGCAAAACCCCAGGCTGAGTTCAGTGTTTTCAATTTGATACTGCAATTAAACATTTAGGATTACATTAAATTATTAACACATTTTTCTCCTTTTACCAGATCCAGGGCAATAGTAAAGGGCCATGAAGTAGTCACTTGTATATTCTTGGCATCCTTGAATGTGAAATTAAAATATGATTAAAAATAAAATTGGGGCCTGGGAAGGTGCCTCAGTGGTGGAGCACTTGCCTTGCATGCATGAGGCCCTGGGTTTGATTCCCCAGTACCACATAAACAGAAAGAAAAAAGCCGGAAGTGGCACTGTGGCTCAAGTGGTAGAGCGCTAGCCTTGATCTGAAGAGCTGAGGGACAGTGCCCAGGCCCAGAGTTCAGGCCCCACAAACAGACCCAAGAAAATAAATAAATAAAATAAAATAAAATTGGTATTTAGGAAAAAAACTCAATTATATAGAAAATTATCTACAGTGATAGAATAAATCCCTAAAATAATTCTAAAATAACTGGCAAATTTTTCTTTTCTTTCTTTTTTTTTTTTTGGTTGTAGGTCCTGAACTCTGGGCCTGGGCGCTGTCTCTCAGCTCTTCAGCTCAAGGCTAGCGCTCTACCACTTGAGCCACAGCACCACTTCCGGCTTTTTTTCTTTTCGCTTATGTGGTGCTGAGGAATCAAACCCAGGGCCTCATGCATGCAAGGCAAGCGCTCTACCACTGAGCCACCTTCCCAGCCCAACTGGCAAATTTTTCAAAGAGTGTCTCTATTCTGATTTTTTTTTTTTTTTTGGTCCGGTCTTGGGGCCTGAACTCTGGGCCTGGGCACCGTCCCTCAGCTCTTCAGCTCAAGGCTAGCGCTCTACCACTTGAGCCACAGCGCCACTTCCGGCTTTTTTCTTTTTGCTTATGTGGTGCTGAGGAATCGAACCCAGGGCCTCATGCTTGCAAGGCAAGCGCTCTACCACTGAGCCACCTTCCCAGCCCCTATTCTGAATTTTATATTCAAACATTTCGCATACAAACAATGTTATTAATCATGATAATCTAAGAGGTTGTCAGTGTCATCATATATGCATGGCAGAATGACATTTACACAGATTTTCTGTTTTTTAGTTTACCACACCCTCCTTAAATTTAGAGAAGGCTTGTGGCAAAGTTTACGTAAAATACCAACAAAGTATTTCATTTTTCTTTTTATTTCATTCTCTTGTGCCAAATATCAAAACAAGGGACAGCATGAAGTCTCACATACTTCTGTCCATCCACAGAGCACTGGAAGCACCCATAGACTGTTTCCCTCTTCAAGTTCCCCATTCCACAGAGTATGCATGGCCCCTTAGGAATGTTGTGATTAAGTAGGTTAACTCGGATGTGTGTCCCCTCCTTGAGTGAAATGTCAGTCATGCTAAGAGGTTTGTCATAGTAGTCAGAAAAAAGATCATCCAAGTAAAGCTGTGAACGAGAAATGGCATCCATCACTCTTCTGTCTAAAAGAACAAATAAGAAATATGTATTAGAATTAAATTTAAATATATATATATATATATATATATATATATATATGACCCAAGCCTGGTGCCAATGGCTTACACCTATAATCCTAGCTACTTGAGAAGCCAGGAACAGAAGGCTCTCAGTTCAAGACCAGCCT